GCCTGGGTCAGGGCCCGAGACGGGCCCCAAGCGGGAGGCGGCCGGGGCTAGAGGGCCGTGACCCACGCCTGTGCGCTTCCGCGGCTGAGGAGGGGCAGGGCAGGGGCCAGTTTGCGCGGGCGAAGACCAGAGGAACGCCGTGGCCGGGGCAGCGCAAGGCCCCGCTGTGCGCGGGCGCGGTCAGGCCGGTCGGCCGCGGAGTCCGTGGCAGGCTGCTCACCTCGTCCGTGTTGTACATGCCCAGGCCCACGCCGCCCGCGGGGAACTCGAACACCTCCCACTGGCGGGGGCTGCCGCCGTCCTTGGGGGTGAAGGTGATCTTGAAGGAGCCGGCCCGGTCGACCACGAAGTCTGTGCACTTGTACTGTGGAGGGAGGGGGCGGCTCAGGCTGGGGCTCCGCCCGGCCCCCGGGCCCCGAGGAGGCCCCCAGGCCCACCTGGTCGCCGTGGGCGTGCCTGCCGATGACGATGGGCTTGGTCCAGCCGGGGACCAGGCGCGGGATGTTTTTGCAAATGATGGGCTCCCGGAAGACTGTCCCCCCGAGGATGTTCCGGATGGTTCCGTTGGGGCTCTTCCACATCTTCTTGAGCTTGAACTCTGCAAGGAGACACAAGTGGGCCACGCAGCCGCCAGCTTCCGGTCTGCCCCGGCGAGCATGCACCGGCGGGCGTCCGGCCGTCCCGGGGGCAGAGTTCGGCGGTGGCGCCTGGCCCCAGCGCCGCTCGGCCCGGCTGCCACGCGGCGGCTCTGAGCTACTGCTACGCCCGGCCGAGCCACCGTCAGGGCTGAGCAACAGCACACACGGCCAGCGCGGCCACGCGGCGCTCAGCCCGGGGACCCCAGCAGCCGTACTGCTCCGGACGCCCTGGCTCAGGTTCCGGGGCTGGACCTGACACCTGGGGACGGGGCCGAGGACACACTGTCCAGGGCCGACCACACTTCTCCATCTCAGCCTGCCTGCCCCGCCCACTCGCCTCTGTGGAGACGCCACTGTCCCAGCGGCCAGCCCTACACCTTCCTGCCCTTCCCGCCGCCTCTGGGGCCGCCGAGATGGCCGGCCACAGCCCTGCCCACACCCTCACACCTTCCATGCGGGCCTCGTCGGGGGTGATGGTGGCACATTTGACAGCCACACTGTACTTCTGTGTGGCCAGCGCAGAGTCGATGGTGACCTGGTCATTGGTCTGGTCACGGTTTGGGAGCCCCAGGTCAAAATACTTTAGCTGGACGTCCACGTGCGGCAGGATGAGCTGGTAAAGCAAGGCCAAGGCCAGGGTCAGCACCCGCAACGAGTCATGGGTGGGGAAATTGGAGGCCTTGGCAGGGGTGCCCCACCCGGTGGGCCAGGGAGAGCCCGCAGTGGGCAGGGCCTGCGGGCGTGGTCGGGGCCCGCGGGCGTGGGCGGGGCCCGCGGGCGGTGCTCTCCCCCAGCCGGTCACTTCCCAGACTGAGGCACTGAGCACCAGGATCCCAAGCTTTGCAGGGACTCATAAGGGGAGGGGGGCCAGAGCTGGACCCTGAGACCCCGGAAAAGCCAAGCAATTCACCCCCGTGGCGGCCCCGGCTCGCCAGTGCCCCACAGCCCGGCAGAGCCCCAGGGGCCCTCGGCTCGCACCCACCCTGGCCGCACCGCCGGGGGACCCAGCAGGCCCTGCCTCGGCGCCACAGGCTCTGGGCCAGGCTCGCGGGCAGGCCAGGCGTCGCCGGGACCCCCGGGGCTGGCGGGCAAGCGCCGGGTCACACCAGGCCCCGAGGCCGGCCGCCGGACGGGAGGAGGCGCACCTTGTCCTTGATGAACTGCCAGATGATGCGGGTCATCTCGTCGCCGTCCATCTCCACCACCGGCTGCGCCACCTTGATCCTCCCGTGGGCATCTGGAATGGGCCACGCGGGGCATCAGCCTGGGCAGGGCAGCGGGGGGGTCCGTCTCCCCTGTCAGGCAGCCCTGGCCGCCCCAGGACAGGCCGTGGTCAGGGAGCAGGTTCACTGCTGGGGGGGGCAGAGCAGATGGCGTGGCCTCTCCCAGAGCAGATGGCGTGGCCGCCCGGAGCGGAGGGCAGAGGCGACGGGACCAGCGGAGACCACTGGCCCCAAGGCAGGGAGGCTGCCGGGGCTCCGGCCACTGGCCCCAGTGCCGCCCACGCCAGGCCTCCCGCAGCTCTGCGAGGGCCGAGGCCCGCGGGCCAGGGGGTGCGGCTGCGGGAGAGGCGCGGAGGCCCTGCGGGAGCGCGCGCCCTGCACGCCGTCGCCCCACTTCACCTTCCAAGCAGCCCCCTCGGGACAGGCTGCACTCTAACTCGGGGGCACGGAGCCCCACGGTCACCGGCCCACGGGCCTGGAGCGGGGGTCCCCACGCAGCGCAACACACCCGACCCCAGCTGGGCTGGCCAGGCCTTGCCGGAGAGGCCTCGGGCCACGGCGGCCGGCGGGTCCAGAGTGAGCTGGAGGTGGGCAGGGGCCTCTGGGCGCAGTCTGGAGCGCGAATTCCAAAGGAAACGGCACCCCGTTGCACCCCATTCTGCGCAGACTCCGGACGAGGCGCCGCGCCGACAGCAGGGGGCGCCAGCCGCCAGCCCTGTGGGGAGCAGCCCGCAGTGCCAGGTAGGAGGCACCAGGCGCCAGTTGCCTGCTGGGGAGGGGTCGGAGAGGGGGCTGGGGCGGCCCGGGGCCTGCGTCCCAGAGATGTGGAGACACTTCTCAGCTGGCACAGCACCTTGGAGCTCTGAGGGAGAGCAGGCACCAGGCCCCGGCCCCAGCGCGTCCGCCAGCCTGTGGTGGGCACCGCCAGGCGCTCGCCCAGCCCGACCGCACTGGGTAGTGACCCAAGCTCCAGAGCTGCAGCGTTTCCAGTGGGAGCCCAGGGCTGGCCGGACCTGGCCGGACCGGAGGTTGCAGGCTGGGTGCGTGCGCCCAGGGGCCGAGGTCAGGCCCTCGCCGGACAATGGGGAAACTCAGCCACCTGCAGGCAGCATGGTGCGGCAGCGCCCCGAAGCAGCCCCGGTGGGGGGGGGGGGCGAGCTGACAGGCCGAGCGCTGTCCAGCCGGGATTTTGCGTGGTTAGTGCTCAGGGTCGCCAAGGCCTAAAAACCAGCACACCAAAGAGCCCGGTCAGGTAACGGCAGACACTGAACAGACAGTTCTCCGGAAAGGACATAAACCGGGAACAAAGGGGGCGGCAGCCCCCACGGCTGCCACGGGGCGCTGCAGAGGGGGCGCTGGGCCCGGCCTGGGGCTGGCGGGTGCAGCTCCTGCTGCCGCTCCCCCAGAAGTCAGAGCCACAACTGCCAGGTGACCAGAGACCGGGCTGGCCCCACGTCCACGCACCAGGGCAGGCCCCCCCACCGTGCAGCCAGAACACGAAGCAGCAGGCCCCAGAGTGCTGCCGGGGAGGCAGGGTGCGCGGTCAGACCCTTCCAGGGCCCGGGCTCTGGGAGGCTAGGGGCCCTTCCCTCCCGCATTCTCGAGGGCCCACCCGGCCCTCCCAAGCAGGGTGGCGCGGCCGGTCTTGTGTCCAGCTCCACACACTCCCTTCGGCCCCCGCAGGCCGGGGTGCAGCTGATTCCCAAGAGCTTCCGGTCCAGCGCCGCTGGTGTTTGGGGAGCGACTGTGAGCAACTCTTGGTCCTCCTGGGCCCCGCCCACCTGAACTGGGCACCCCGTACCCCCCGTGGGCCTGAGGGCATGGTGCCGAGTGACTGGACAGCAGCCAGCCACCCCCCCACCCCCCCCCCCCGCGGCTCTGGCCCTCTCCAGTGCGGACAGGAAGCGGGAGGCTGCAGGGAGGGGCTGCTTCTGGGTGGGGAGGGCAGGGCTGCACACCTGAACAGGCCAAGGTGGCGGCTGCCCTGCGTCTTTCTTACCGCCATGAAAAGTGACGAGCTCAGGCCCGGACCGGCGAGATTTTCAGAGCCCTGCCTCCACTCCGAGAGCAGCCTGGCCAGGGCCCCACCCTGCCTGCCAGGCACAGCACCCCAGGGCGCAGCTTGAGAGGGTTGGGCACCCCGTTGTTTGGGTGGCCGTGGGCACAGCCCCACAGGCACACTCACCCCTGGCCAAGCGCAGGTCACCCCCGCACCCCCTAGGGTTAGCAGCGGCCCGCCCAGCCGGTCTACCGGGCCCAGGCAAGGACCGCAAACCCCTGCCTGGGTCAGGATCTCTTCTGCTCAGAACTCAAGGCTGGAGCCCCACCCTGCTGGCCACCCCCAGGACACCTGGCCTTCCGACCTGGACACTCTCAGCACACAGGGCAGAGGCCCCAGTCCAGCGCTGAGACGCTAGCATTTCCCTAGAAGTCGTCCCTCAGGCTCCTTCCAAAAATCCTGCTCTCTCCCTGCAAGACACACCCGGACTGCGCTTCTCCCCGTCCCTGGGCCACCAGCCGGCCCTGGCGCCTCTCCCCTTCCCGGAGCCAGAGGGCTCCCCTTAGAGCCTGAGTGTCAGGCGCAGCTCTTACACAGCCCCTTCAGCGCAGAGGAAGGCCGAAGTCCCGGCCCCCTCGCCCGCCCAGGCTCCCCGGCCCCCGCAGCGGGGCACCTCAGCTTGGCCTTGGCAACCCTGACAACACCCAGGCCCGGCGCCCTCACTTCTGGCCCCCCGCCCCGCTCTGGCCTCCTACTCCTGGACACACCACCCTGGACAACAGGACCCATGTTTCTCACCTGTCCCTGCACTAGGGCCCCGGGGCAAAGCCCGGCCTCTGACCTCCAGCTCCGTGCCCGGCACGCTGCCGCCCGCCACATTCACGGCGGATGCACGAATGCCAAGCTACAGCAACCTGCGGCCGGGCTGCCCGCCCTCACCTTCGCTGGGCTGACGTGCTGCGCCCCCTCTGCTCCCCAGGTGAGCGGCACCTGCCATCACGCGCGCTGCGGGGCGCCCCTCTGCAAGCAGCAGGCTTCCGCCCCAGCGAGGTTCACGGTTTGCAACCTGCTGGCATTTTAAACTGGGTTTGCAGAAGTGTGAACCCAGGGCAGGACGGAGCCGGGCTTGGGGGCGGGGGGAAGCCAGGGGAGGGGAGCAGTTCCCAGCACCTCAGATTTGAAGAAACAGTGGGGCCTGAGCCCCACAGCGGACTTGGTGGCAGTCCCAGGCTTCACAGAGAATCGGCGCCAGAGCGCAGTGGGCGTACACAGAACCCACCAGAACAGCTCAGGTGGGGCAGCTGATCCGGAACACAGGGCCTCTGCCCCGGGTCTGCACAGTTTAACAGTCCCCCGAGAATGCACCTGGGACCTGGGCGTGCAGGCGCACCCCGCGATCTTACAGGCTTGGGCCGGTGAGAAACTGTCAGCGGAGAGCAGAGCAGAGGCAGGCAGCGCTCACCCTCCTCGACCCTTGGGTGGGGGCTGCAGCCTGCAGCCTTGTGTGTTGCCCAGGGGAGGCCAGGCGTCCTGTGGCCAGCAGCCTGGCCAGCTAGCAGGCCGGCGGGCAGCAAGCGTGGGGTTTCAGGTCCAGCTCAAACACCAGGCAGCCGCCGCCGGCCCCGGAGCTGCGACTCCCCTTGCTGTGCAGACCCGGCCCGAGCTTCGTTTGCCGCCCAGTGGGGCTCAGTGTCCCTCTTGCCTTTCTTCTCACCACCAAGCAAGGGGGAAGGGGAGTCGGAGGATGCCTGTGGGCCATCGCACTTCGCAGCGTCCCTCGGAAACGGGGCGCTTGGGACCTTGGCTTGTCTCGCTGACCCTGGAGGAGAGTCCCCAAAGCGCCAGAGCAGAAACGCCCGTTTCTCCTTGGCGGGGAGCAGTGGTCAGCTGCTCGGCACTGGGTTACAGATTACCTCCTCTGGCAGCCAGGCCGGCCCTCCCCCTCTTCCTCACTCCTGGCTCACCCCAAGGGGCCCCGGGCCAGCCAGGATAGGGTTTCTGCAGCAACAGGCAGCAGACAGGGACCTCCAGGTCCGACCCCTCGTCCTGGCCCGGGCAGGGCGGCAGCGGAGGCGCGCGCCGAGTCGGGCTCCACCCCCACTGCCCTCCTCGCCAGCCGGCGGCTCGGGCCCCGCCCAGGCGGTGGGCCGGACTGGGGAAAGTGACATTCGGTTGGCTGCCAGGTCCCAGGTCGGCCTGAGAGGCCCCAGGATGGGGCCACCGGGGGCAGCCAGGGGGAGAGGGCCCTGGCCCGACCTCGGCGCGGCGAGTAGAGGGCTCCGCGGACGGCCGGCAGGCGGGATTCCTGCAGGCCGCCGGCGGAAGTGGCC